TGTGCTTGAATTGCTTGATGCGCCGGTTCAAAACTGAATTTGTAAGCCATTTCTTCTTCTCAATGAAATAAATATGAAGTACAGTGCAACATCATAGGATAAGACACCCTCAAATATGTTGTGACCTAATCAAAACGGGAGACTAGGCTGGCATACATGAAAAGATTTCAAAGTATTGAAAACAGAGTTTACCATTATACCTTTGATGTCTTGATTGACTCCAGCTTGTATAGATCACCAACAGCAGAATGGTAACTTTCAGGGGACCACAAACATTTGGGTCATCACTCTGAAACTGTCTTTATGTGACTTCACAGTACCTGCAAAAGTACTGAAAACGACTGAAGTTCTCAGTAAGTCTACCAATGCTATGTGATCCCAAATTATCAGAAGCAATGCAATATAAAGCCCATTTGACCGCTTTACCACCTAGAGTTATTCCATTTTCCTCCAAATCTTTCAAATCCACTAACATTTCTGAGAAAACCTTAGCACTTCTAAAGTCTTTCAGGTCATTCTCTCTACACGTTAAGACAAGGGACATGTGATCAGTACTGGACCGTACATGAACAGGTACATTTGCTACAGAAAGAGTCAAATAAAGAGTCAAAGAAAGACTGCAACAACTTTGTGTGTTTTCTTAGCAGAGCCAAGGGGTTTAATTTCAAAAGCATCCTGGTATAGAATTAGCTTCATGAATCCTGGATTTTCAATGAAGAACTGGTTGGACTTAAAGCTTTGTCCCTCACTTATATGACTTAAAACATACGAGTCTGTTTCACGAGATGGTTGGGAAACAGAATTTTTCCACAATTCTGATTTTAATAAACCATTCAATGTTTGCATCACAGGTATGTAGTAAGCAAACCTTTCTGTCATATTTTCATCATTTCCTATTGTAATTCATTTAGGCTCATGTCATTGTTAAAGAGTGAATGTAGTATACTTAAAGTGTAATCCTGCCCAAAATCATTCACATTTTGCATCTCTTCAATAATTCCTAAGAAAGGTTTAGCTGAAATTCTGTGTCAATTCAGCGCCTTCAATGCTATCAGAGTTGTGGGAAGCCTCTTCACATGGAGTTCCAGAAGACTGAAATAATTTCTCTGTACATGTCACTTATGCTATTTACCGAACATTCTCTATGTTTCCTTAACATGTGGGCAGTAAAGGATGATTTAACGGTGAATGTATTTTTACAACCAGTTACTGGACATGGCACAGGTTGCGCCTCCACTGCGAAATGGCACATTTAAAATTTCCTACAGGAGTGACAGAGGGTGCAGGCACATTGTGAACCCGATAGAAATGTGCTTTAAAAGCTGTATAAGTGCAAAATGTCAGTGACGTGGCATTTAAAAAAACAATGTGGTTCGTTCCTGTGAATTCTACAGAGGAGCACGTAACGCCTTAACGTCTGTAGTGTTTTGCTGCAGTAATGGCAGGTAATCATTCTTATCTAGCTATAGCGACAGCAATTAAAGCTGCCAATTTAAATACCCTCTATGCACATGAAAAAACAGCACGGAAAAAAAACTTCAGCACACCCACCAGGCTAAATATCCTCCGGTCAGTCAGCGTTATTTTTAACTGCAAAATATATTCTTGGTTACAAACAATAGCAATATTTTCTAACACCAAACGGTCCAGTTTGAGGGAAATTATTTGTTAGCTTACCACTGCAAAACGTCGTTCTGTCGTTATTCTTCAGTTCTTCACGTATACGGGCGCATATTGTCAGCCGGTGACAATTAAATAAACCAATGAAAGAAAGAAAACAAGTGAGTTGAGGAGGCAGAGCCCACCTAGTTTGAAATTCACACACACAGCCATTAGTTTTGGCAGGAATGTAAAAGGTACTGTCACACCCAGGGGCGCCGCTAGAGATTTTGGGCCCCATGAAAGCATATCATATTAGGCCCCCCAGTCCAAACCAATCCAGTTATTTTCCTAATTTTTTAGGGCCCCTGTCACTCAGGGGCCCTTGGAATCGTCCTAGCTTTCCTCCCCCTTACGGCGCCCCTGGTCACACCCCACCTTACATTATTAATCGGTTCCGAGAGTCCCATCTTAAGCCGATTTTTGAGGTAACCCGAAAACAATGCCTGAGAAGGACTAATAAATAGACGTAGTCGTTTCCATTGACATAAATGCACCTTTAATTCATTATAAAAGTACGTGTTCACTTTGGAGTCTTAAAAGTCGATGTTCACCTAGTATTCAGTGTATTGGGACAAACTTGCAGACAATTACGTCGCCTAAAATAAATCATTGTCCTCCTGTTAGGCCTACTGTCATACACATGAGATGACTGAGGTGTGGATTGATTCTGACCGTGTATGGACTAATCATCCTGAGATTCACATACGTCATCCATGATTCACCCGTAATATTATTGTGCCAAGGCTGAACAGCATAAACATGTTTTTTTACTGATCACTTATATAACTTGTTTCTCATGAAAGGAGCCAAGATGCTCATCTTGTCCTAAAAATCCTTGTCCTGGGATACTTACTCTGTTAATACGCCTTCTAGGGAGACTGTGTGTACTGTACGTCACAAGCGGGGAGGGAGGAGAATGATGAACAGGTAGGTCGAGAGAGCTGGGTGAACGTAGGTCGTAGACGTAGAAAAGGGCGTACACAATTCACAGAGGCGGCATCACTTGAAGTAACGGTGTCTAACCGCTTTCAGGTGCTT